GATGTAACTATTGAATAAACATATCCCATAGACAATACGCCTCCACAACGGAGTCTTGTACTATTGTACAGAAACAACAGGGTGTTGAACACTGAAGTAAAAACAATGGCCGCATCGTGCTGTTTATAAGATAAAACGAAAACTCGGTTATAGCAGTGAAATGCAAGATGTGTGAAGAAAAGTGGTTTTGTAAAGAAAAATTTTATCTTAGAAATCTGGTCATGAATTTAGAATTTTACACTTTAATCTGTATCTCTCTTGGGAGGAGTTAAAGTGGACTGATCCAACTTCGTCGTCTGTGGATGTGGGTGTACGTTCGAAAGCCAGTAGACAATACGTGTATGACGAACGTAGTAGTAATTGAGGTTTGGGAGCGGTAGACAATTCATGTATGATGAAATTTTCTTTCTACACCCACGTACTTCTCATCAACGTAGCAGGCAAGGTGTTCTTGTCATTTAGTTGTTGAGTTAGAATAAAGGGAATAGCTTAGAATTCCAAGAACACCCAACGTCGAACCCTTGGAAAAGGCACTTAGCATCTATTTCGTTTGTTAGCTCAGGTGAAAGTGACCATAGACGTTATACCCCCGCAAATGTGTTTTGCCTAGTAACATCGAGATATTGAACGCTGTACTCTCTAAAAATGGCCACATTGTTGAATGACCCACTATATCACGTGAAGACACTGTGTAACCCACTCAGCTATCGCAAACAGTGTCACATGACCCCAACCTCTAGTTTTTTTTTTTAATTTTTAATATCGTTGTTGATGTTTTAATGTATTTATGTCTTTTTAAATGTATTCACTGTATTTTCCATGTATGTGATTATGTAATTTTAATGTTTGAGCCTTGGAAGATTAGCCCTGCAGTGCTAAAAGGCTTCGAAAAAAATGAAATAAAACTGTTACCTTCGCCAAGAATTTATGTTTTCAGAGGCGTTCGTGTGTGTATGTGTGTGTCTGTGTGTCCGGAAACACGTTTTAAGAAGGCTTTAATGGATTGACGTGATATTTGGTAGGTGGGTAGGTCTTGGTGAGACCTAGAAATTTGTCAGATTTTGGATCCCCTAGTGGCTTCTTATGGTACTGCAGCGGAACTTCTGGTTTTAATGTCTTAGTGGGGCAGATAACTAAAATAATCTTTCAAATTGTGATACAAGCAACAAACTTGGTACAAATACTCATGAGACATATTTTTTGAGGTGTAATCTGTGCTGTGTACTATAGAAACATGTCGACTGGCTTTCCGGGTGAGCCGACTGCAGTTCAGTTGTCTGATAATGTGGTGTGAATATTCAAAATGCTTAAAATCGGGTGATGCCGGGTTTTCATCCCTGATAGAATTGGGAAAGACACTTCAACAAGATGTTTTCCTCAGCTAATGCGAAAATGAGTAGTTACAGTTCGTATTTTCGAACAGGAGGTGGTCACACGAGAAAGTGTTCATTTCTCATTTTCATTTTTTTTATTTCCAACATATATATCGCAAGACACGGTGACGGCACACTCAAGGTTTTAACGTATTTTTTATGCCACGCATAAACGGGCAATATAGAAACAGTCATTTTCACCTAATTGAAGTGAGGGAAGCCGGGTAAAGTGCCTTTCTTAAGGATATAAGCTCGGTAGCATGGCGGGATTCGAACTCGGGATCTCTTGGTTACGACCCGAACGCTCTGGCATTATGCCGCATGACCCCAAGTGCCTACTAATAAAAGTAGGTACATATACCGGCGTGTGCGGACCAAAACGTATTTGTTCTGGATACGTCGACGAAGGTTAGACAACCCCGTAACAAAATACAAAATGCTTTTAACTGGTAAATTAACATACAGAAAAGAGCTGTGCCCGTATGGTGCGTGCTCTGACGCTATTAGATTGGCGGATGTGTATGTTGCATGTGTACAACAAACTCTGGTGCCCCTCCTCGCAGTGTTCGTTGCAAGAATGTTGATTGTCCTTCCATGGACAGTATGGCGGTATTGTAAAGATCGAGAAAGATAGGCAGGAATAGTGGCCAGCGGACGGAAAGATATAGAGGAGTGACTGTAATGGTTTGTTACATAATTTAAATGTATGTAGTATACAGGAATGTGTTACTCTCTACTGTGTAAGTTTTGATAGGCTATATGATAATAGCGTAACGGCCCGCCCTTTCTCGGTGAAAATGGTGTGATGAAGCCTTGTCAGTTGCTATAACTGCGCTCACTCGATGGCTTCATTCGGTGGTTATAGCAACTGACAATGCTTTATCACACCATATTCACCTTGGGGAGGGTCATCAACCCTTAATTCAATACTTGTGACATGTGTGAACAAGACCATAATTAACATCATTACGCAAATAGGTTGATGTAATTTGCATAATTATTTCACTCCATACTTCAGTATGGAGTGAAATACTGCTTTTTCTGATGTTTCTTCTCCTCCTCCTTCTTCTTCTCCTGCCACTTCTTTAAATTGATTCAACTCCTTCATTTTTGGGCGAAATTACCTGTAATTTCGTATAGAGGTAGAGTGGGTAAATACCCTTAGGCGTTTTTTAATTTTTTTTTTTTATACAAGCTTCTACAATCGTTTTATTTGCTTTTTAGTGGTCCCCATAGGAAAGTACTGTGGGGGCGTACGCGCGTGACGTAATAAGAAAGGAATTCAGAGGCATGCCCAAATATGGGCATAAAAGCATCAACCTGACGCAGACCAATCATAGAACGCTTTTCGAATCTCCCGCGAATTTCTTCCGCTGACGCTGATTGGTCATAGGCGTCACGTGATCATTTTTACGTTCGGTCGTCTGCAAGGCGGACGACTTCTGCTGCCAGCGTCAGGTTCTCGCCAGTGACTGGCAGTATATTGTGCGTCAAATAGCAGGAAATATCATCAGGTAAGAAGTGGATAGTCAGAGTTCCTCCTATAGACCATTGTTTGTGCACGTAGGGATATGTGGGTGCTGTAATACATTGTAATAAGGACATTAATTAGCGCGGGCGCCCGCGGGCCAAAAACAAAAACAAGACACAAGAAGAAGTATAGTGAAGAGGGCCTGCATGGGGGATAGTGATTACGGATTATGCAAAATTTTCGCCGCCAATATTACGAATTACGTTAAAGTCTCAGACCTTATAACTACTTTACGCTTTGCAGCTACTGTTCTGTTACGGATTACGTTGATTTTTGGGAGGTTGTCTACGTATTATGAAGCTGAAAAGGCCTGATTACGCCTTACGAAAAACGGCATACAGGCCCCAAGAAAAATCCCACCATTCCTCGCGCGAACTGTAACATCCGGTTTGTTTGTCGTTCTAAATGTTGAAGTTGACGGCTGTGGTAGTACCGGGGTAATACCTTATTTGCGGTAAGTGATTACATGAAAATGGCTTAAACTCAACATTGTGGTTGTAAACGTGTGCCTTC